GGGCCTGTGGTCAGCAGGCGGGCTCGCCGGCTCCTGGGGGCAGCCCCACTACATCGCCCTGTCTGTTCCACAGTCTCGCGTGTGTGGCTTTGGTTTCTGAAGCCCTGAGCCGGGAGGTCTGAATTCCCCAACCTCTCTCTGCTCTGTTGGTGCAGGCTCTCAGCTCCCACGCCCCTGCAGGCATCCTGGGGGTGCCGTGGGGGAGGGGGAAATAAAGGGAGAGGAAGGGGAGGCCCCCAGGGAGAGCCCCACGGCCTGGGAGGGCTCTGGGAGCACCTGCCCCCTCACTGGCTCGGCTGTGCGTTCCAGAGGTGTGTCAGGTCCAGCACTCTGAGCTGGGACTAGGACGGGGGCCCAGCAGGCCTTGGGGGCTCTGGGGGTCGCGGTGGGAAGGTGCGTCCACCTGAGCGGCTGGAAGACCACTGCTCGCTTCTTCTGGCTTTCCTGGGCCCGGAGGCCTAGAGAGGGGCCTGGGGGCCAGCCCAGGGCCCCCCGCAAATCCCTGGAGGAAGCAAGTCATCTGCCCTCCACCCAGGGGCTTTCTACGGGGTGCAGGGCTCTGGACGCCCAGCCCAGCCTCCCCCACCAAAAGCCTGGCGCTGACTCCCTGACATGGTCCTGCAGCCTCGGCACCCAGCCGGGTCTCACTGCTCCACAGCAGAGCAGGGGCCCTGCAGCCTGCAGTGTGGTGTCCTGCCATTGTGCAGTTCCCAGGCACCCCCTACCCTGCCCACGCCCACCCCGCCCCGGGCTTCGGGAGGGGGACCAAGGGAGCAGACACCTGCTCTCGCCCGCCCTCCCAGAGGCGGCCACCCATTGCGGGGCAGCCACAGGAAGGCCTCTTGTACAGGTTGCTGTGTGCCCAGCCCCCTGCTGCTCCCCCCACCCCCACACTCCCGCATCTCTGCAGCCCCCACCCTCTCGGGGCAGCCGCCCCGCAGGCTGGCTGGCGTGCCCAAGGCCCTTGTGCACTTCATTTGTTCAATAGCTCTGGGCCTAAATTGCCTCCCATTCTCCCCAAGCCCATTAGCAAGCAGCGCCCTCCCTCCTCCTCTGTGATTCTGCTGAGCCACGGGGCTCCGGGGGAGGGGCTTTGCTCTGCCTCCACCGCCGCCCCCAGCACAGCGCCGACTTCTCTCCTTTGTGGCACCCAGAGCAGAGCGAGGACCGGCCCCATTCAGAGCCCAGGCTGGAGGGCAGGACCCCTGGGGCCCCGGGCACTGCCCACTTGCTGCCTCCCTGGAGGCCTCTCCTCACGCAGCCGCTGTCCAGGCCTTTGTGCCCAGCCCTGGGTGGCCTGGCCTCTGCCCAGGGGCACAGTGAGGGGCATGTGGCTGAACAGGAACAGGGTCCTGAACAGCTGCTTGCCGGGGGGGGGGGGGGCTTTCCGGGGGCTACGGGGTGGGAAAGACACCTGGTAAGCGAGGCCCCTCCTGGCCCCAACACCCCCCCCCCAGGACATGACACCTCCGGCAGGCACTAGGGTAGGGGCGCCAGGGCCAGGAACTGACCCAAGCTCTGTGCCCGCCCCTGCCCCGGGCTGGTGCACTGCTGGTAAGTGGCCGGGGCCAGGCCCCACGTGCACACCCAGGGCTCGTCCTGTCCTGTCCCCGTGGTGAGAGCCTCGGCGAGACTCCTTTACCACGGCCCCAGGCACTGGAGGGGTCCCCGGGCAGGAAGGTTGGGGGAACGGGACCCTGCCCACCTTCAGGCTGGGGCCGTGACCTCTGGGTCTGCTCTGTGCAGCTGTCCGGTGCTCTGGGGACGGATGGAGTGACTGCCCGGTGAGGGGTGGTCAGCACCGTGTCTGCGCCCCCTGCCCTGGGAAGAGGCAGCCTCGGTAAGGCCCGGCACACCTCTTCCTGCATCCCGCGCTGCGCCAGCCACCGTCCCTCCCGCACTCAGCAGGGAGATGTCAGCCCCACAAAGAAATAGCAAAGCCAAGACGACAGCACATAGGAGAGAAGACACAGCCCAGGGAGCCACAGGCAGCCCAGCTCCCCGGGCACCCAGGGCCCCTGCAGCCCCAGGACAGCCCTCGCTTCCACCCCTCGTAGGGGAGAGCCCAGCAGTAGCCTCGGCCCAGGCACAAGTGGTCTGAGGTAGCAGGTGCTCTGTGAGGGGCGTGGCCTCCACCTGCCAGAAGCCTGGGAGGTATAATAATGGCCCAGGGGGCTCCGGTGACTTCCCCAAGGTCCCTGGGCAGGCACGCGGGAGGGCTGGGCCAGCTGCCCGGCTGCCCTGGAGTGGGTGCCTTTGGTCCCCTCCTGAGCCCCAGGGTCAGGGCCCAGGCAGCAGTGGTCCGGCCGGCCCTCGGCCTCCCTCTGGAGCTGGGGAACACAAACTTTCTGTGCGGGGAATCCAGTGTGGCTCCTGACTCGCTGGGTCAGACAGGCCAGCCATCGGAGGGAGGGGTGTGGCCGACTCCACGGTCCCCAGAACACGGGTGGTGCCCCTTGGGCCGCGGGAAGCAGATGAGTGTGGCGGTCAGGGGCCCTGGCTGTGAGAGGAGGAAACCGCCCATGCGCAGGAGCCGAGGCCAGTGTGGGGTCAGCCTCATTAGCGACAGAACGACAGCCCCAGGGCTCAGTGGCGTCAGTGGCCAGGGACAGCTGTGCAGAGCTCTCAGAGGCCGCCCTGCACAGCCAGGAGCCCCTGCCCCTCTTCCCAGCCCAGCTCCTGACCCAGCACACATGGCCACCCCCGCCAGCTCCCGTTGCCTGCCCCCTCGGCCCCTGACTTCGGTGGGGGTTCGGGATTACTGTCCCCCCAAGGGCAGGACGCCACGTGTGTGCACGTGCACAGACCAGCATCGAGTGTGCCTGCTGAACAATCACTTCCACACCAACTTGCCCACCTCAACCCTTTCAAAGTCACCACACACGTGCTCTGATCCGATCACGTCCATTTCACAGGTGGGAAGACTGAGTCCCAGGGCAGGCGAGGGATGCTCTGAGCAGATTCACCCAGTTTCTCAGGACGCTCTCCCTGTGGCTTGAACACAGCACCCAGCTCCTGGCTGGCATGTGCCAGGTGCACAGGTGGGCAATCAGGGGGGCTGTGCCGTGTTGGTACCTGGCCCCGCGGATTGGGGCTGCGGCAGCAACAGGAGCCTACCCAGGACTCTGCCCAGGAGCCACGGAACTGTCTGGGCTTTGCACGGGGAAGGCAGAAGTGAGAGTGGGCGGCTGGCAGGCAGGTCTTGTCCACACCACTGCAACCCGTCCCCTGGGAGGTGACTGAGCCTGCTGAAGACCCCACAACCACAGAGCCGTCACGGGTGCCCACTGCTTTGTAGCCCTGACTAGGAGCCGCGGTGGTGGTGGTGGTTGGGGTTTTCGGGGGCTGGGGGCCCTCCGCATCCTCTGTGACTGTTAAGCAGCTTTGCCTGGGTCACGGGTGCTGCTCAGACCCAAACAGGCTAGTCTGAGGCCAGCAGTGAGGGGCGGTCCCGGGGCCAGGGTGATCCAGCCTGTGGGGTGTGGTGGCTCCAGGATGTGGGGGGCTCCTAACCAGCCGTGGGTCATGGCGATGGAGCCCCCACTTTAACAAGAACCCAGTGCAGCCAGGCATTCACCACCCTGCCCGGGAGGTGGGTTGGTGCTGTGCCCACTTTGTGGACCAGGACACTGAGGCTAAGATCAGAAAGCCACGGTACAGCCGGGTTTGAACCAGTCCTCAGACGGTGCAGCCCACGTAGCCTTTTACTTATTAGTATTTTTTAAAGATTTATTTGAAAGTCAGAGTTACACAGAGAGAGGAGAGGGAGAGGGAGAGGGAGAGGGAGAGGGAGAGGGAGAGGGAAAGGGAGAGATAGAGAGGTCTTCTATCTGCTGGTTCACTCCCCAGTTGGCTGCAACGGCTGGAGCTGCGCTGATCTGAAGCCAGGAGCTTCTGCTGGGTCTCCTGTGTGGGTGCAGGGGCCCAAGGACTTGGGCCATCTTCCACTGCTTTCCCAGGCCACAGCAGAGAGCTGGATGGGAAGTGAGTGAGCAGCCGAGACTCAAACCAGCACTCATATGGGATGCCAGCACTGCAGGTGCCGGCCTCCTTTTACTTACTATTATTACTGTTGTTGTTTGGCGCAGTCTCTCCCCTCCGGACACCCGGACACCCGGCTCAGGCTGCAGAAGCCTCGCCCGCCTCCTTCCAGGAGAGGGTGGAATTTGTCCCCGTGGAGAAGCAGCCGGGGGCAGCCGCAGGGGGCAGCACCGAGGGTCTCCGGTCTCTGACACCAGCCAAAGCCACTCGCTGGCGTAGAGTCAGGATAGAGCCTCCTGTGCCTGTACCCCCCCCCCAACCAGGTGCGAGTGTCCCTCCACAGCCTCGGTGCGGGGCTGCTGCGGGCCCTGGGCCCTGTGTTAGCAGCCCCTACGGTGGGGGAGCCGCGGTGGGCGCCCCTCCCTCCGCCCAGCGTGCGCGGGCGGCCAGGCTCTGGAAGAGAGTGAGTCACGGCCGGGCCGGAGTGCGTCCTCGGGCTGAGCGCGGCTGCAGGTTTCTGAGATAATCATGTAATTTATGAGAGTCCCGCGGGCCCGTGTGAGTCAGCCTGGCTGTGTCGTGACCAAGCGGAGGCTGGCAGCGCCGAGGCGTGGGCACCCGTTCTGCCCAGGCCCTGGCCTCTGGACGCCCCCCATCCCCCAGGAGGCCGGGCAGCCACCCCCAGGCTCCGCAGGAGGGCAGGCGGGGCTGGGGCACACCTGAGGCCCCAGACTGATGGGAAAACAGTCTCCTCCTGGCCCTGCCTCCTGCCTCGCATACGGGGTTCCCAGGTGGTTTTGGGGGGCTCGGCAGTGAGTGAGGGGCTCCCAGCAGTGCGGGGGGCTCGGCAGTGAGTAAGGGCTACTGGGTGGCGTGGGGAGGGGCTGAGCAGTGAGCGCTTGTGGCTGGGAGGCCGTGACCTTCTGTGAGATCTCTTCTGTGGCAGATGGCCTTGGCTGTGACCCTCCCCACTCCAAGGCACGCGTGCGAGCGCACGCACACACACACACACACAGGTGTTCACACTGCATAGCGTCTCTTTATTATTCAAAGGGCCTAAAGGATGCTCCAGGGGCTTGAAAATGGGGGGCCGAGATTCCTGGATCCCCAGTGTTCACCCCCCCACGTGGCCTCCGGGGCCCCCAGGTGCTCAACCAGGACCTTTCAACATGGGAGGGGGCTTCCCAACACCCTCAGAGCCCTCCCCCTTCCCCGGTGGGCAAGGGGCCGCGCGCCCGAAGGTCCTGGATGGGCGAAGCCTCCTGGGAGGGCCGTGGACACCGTGTGGGCCCCGTCCGAAGCAGGGGAGGAGACGGAGGCGAAGTGCAGGGCAGCAGGTGCGTTCCACCGGGGCAGAGCGGCCCTGGAAGGTGTCAGGAGGAAGCAGCTGAGTGGTGGGCGCTGGGCCCTGCTCCCCCGCAGCCCAGCCGCGTGCCCCCAGCATGCCCTCTGAAGCCCTCCGCCTGGGTTTGCACACGGCTGGGGAGCAGACACGGGCTGTGGGATGTCCCGCGAGCCTCCCCCTCCTCCTCTCCTTTCCCCCTTTTCTCCCAAGGCCTCCTCTCCCACAGAGCCCCTCCCTCTATTTTTCCTGGCTAAAACCCACCAGAGACACCACCACACCCGGGAAGAGATAAATAAATAAAAGAAAAACAGCCTCAACTGTGAAAAGCAGTCCAAATCGGAATTTTTTGCGGCCCGAGTTAATTACACTTTAAATTGGCATGTCCCTGATGGGGGGATTTCGGGTTGCTGGAGACAGCCCTGCGCAGCAGGCTGGCAGGCGCCCCCAGCCCTGGCAGCTCCCTCCACTCCCCTGCCAACCACAGAACACACAGAAACATCTATTTCGGAGCGTCAGAAACGGAGCCATCGCAGATGGCGGGAAGCAGAGCCCTGGATGGGATCCTACGTCCCGGGCTCCTTCCCCACACCTCCTCGCCTGGGGAAGGACCCGGCCGGCTGCCCCAGAGGGACTCTGGGGGCTGGCAGCATCCCACGGGGGCCCAGCCTGACCAGAGCAGCAGTGCCCTCTGGGGTTCTCTCCCTCCCCATGGAGTGAGGTTCATTCATTCATTCAACAAGCACTGAGGGGGCCAGGAGGAGCCATCCTGGGTAAGGTGCAGGGTATGGGTCTCCCTGGACCCCGTGGGCCCTGGAAAACACCTACCTGCTCCAGGCCCTTCTCACAGACACTTCTGAGACCCCGACATGCTTCTGGGTCCGGCGGCTCCCCGGCCCACAGACACGGCCGCCCTGGTGAAGTGACCCTGCGGTGGTGTTAGGTGGGGCCGGTCACTGGCTCACAGCTGGGCTCTGCAGCAGGTTCAGCCATGGGACACCCATGCACTGGGAACCTGAGAGAGCCCCGCCCAGGGTGGCCTGCAGGGGGCAGACAAGGCTGGCCCAGGGAAACCAGAGCTAACAAACCCGACGCAGCCCCTGCCCCGGCCCCGGCCCCGGCCCCTGCCCTGCCCCTGCCCCTGCCCCTGCCCCTGCCCCTGCCCCGGCCCCTGCCCCGGCCCCTGCCCCGGCCCCGGCCCCGGCCCCTGCCCCAGCCCCTGCCCCAGCAGAGCCTGCAGCCCAGGACATCCTGCTGGACTCAGCCAGCTGACCACACGCCGACTTCCTGGAGGAGGTGGACCCCTGAGCCACCTCTCACTCAGCCCAGCCTGCCCTTCTTGGGCATCCTTTCCAGCCCCAACCCCCCAAGCCCACCACTCATTTGGCGGACGGCAGGTGTCCCCTGCACGTGCAGGTGATGCGCCAACGCCTGCCCCCGTCGCCGGGAGGTCAGGGAAATGGCGAAGGCAGCACCCAGCCCTGGAGCCCTCCCCCGCCCATGACAAACAGCCCCTCCCTCCGCCTGCACAGGGCCCCGTTGGCCACGGCCACACAGCTTGGGCAGCGCCTGGTGGAGACTGCGCGCCGTCCTCCTGGCCTCCCTGGAAGGGCAGAGTCACCCGTTCACTGCACACCCTGAAGCCCTCCCGGGTGCGAGGAAATGGGACTCGACACCCTCGTGTGCTGAACACCCGCCTCGCGCGCGTGCCTGTGGCGGCCCTGGGTCGGAGGGAACAGGCGTTAGACGTGCACCTGCTCTGTGCTGACGCCCCGGCTGCCGGCAGCTCTGCCACAGCACAGAGGCAGGGAGGTCCTGGGTCGCCCCGATTCTCACAAAGAGGGAAGCCGATTCAAGAGATGGCCTTTGACCCCGGGTCTCTCAATCCTGGCAATCCTCAGAACAAGCAGAGCGTCCCGTCCTCCTTCCACAGACGTCAGCTCCCTTACCTGCCCGAGGGGTGTGTGGGGAAGTGCGACAGGAGGGGAATGAACTCGTGGGTCCTGCCCAGCCACGACACCTGAGCGGGCAGGACCCGTGAGAACTGTCTGTAGGCTCCGTAGGGTCTCGGGGACGGAGCCAGTCATGGTGGGGAGGGGTGCTGGCCCTGTCCTGCAGGGGGCGGACACTGTGAGCGCTCATCCGGCCAGGTCTTGCTCACCTCACGATCAGGGCAGCAAACACATCCTCCGAACTGGGGCAGGCCCAGGTCAGCCGGGTCTCTGGTCAGCAGCCCCCTCCCCAGGGCAGATGGCCCACCAGGCGGCTAAGCCTTGAAGGGCACATGAGTCGGCAGAGGCTGCCTGTGCCGTGAGCGCCGTGAGCGCCGTGAGCATGCGGCTGTGCGGCCCGGAGGCAGCGCTGGCCGCTCCAGCCTGCGGAGCTTGGCTGAGTCTCTCCACCTCCCGGTACACCACAGCCTGTCCTCCCAGGAGCTCCCCCGGAAGACAGGAGGGGAAGGGGCATGCCAGGGTCCCCGGCGGGGTAAGCAGGCACAGGGGGAGGCGTGCACGTGAGCGCGGCCCCGCCTCCCGGCTGACCGGCTGAGCCCCTGACCCTGCGGCTCCCACCCCGGCCCCTTGGGGACCCACATTCTCATTTGGCCCTCGGATGAGCAAGGCCTTTTGTTTATTCTCTCTTCTCGTCAAACAGAAGACAAATCAGTAATTTTGCTTTTAATGAGATCTTGCGGCACCTGCGTAGGGTCCGGTGTCTGGGGTACAAGGACTGTGGAACGCACACGCCGCGCCGGCTGACGCGGGCGATGCGGGCGGCCGCGCCCGTTCGTGCTGTGGCGTGGGGATGGTTACATCGAAGCCATTAGGCCCAGCGAGCGCTGGTCTCCTCTTGTAGGCACTTAATATATTCCAAGGATGGGTAAATGCATTAACGGCAATCTTCGTCTCCAAATGTTCCCATTTAGTGAGCTCCATGCATAAAATATGAGCCTTGCTGGTGGCGGCCACAGGCAGCTCCCCAGAGCACCCGGCTGCTGCTGTGGCGGCCGAGGGCGGGGGAGGGGCACTCTCGGTGGGTAACTGCAGGCCCCTCGGACCCCCTTCCCCAGAACCTCACACCCTCCCTGCCAGCCGTGAAGGGGTGGCAGAAGCTGGAAAGTCCACTTGCCTCTTTCACAAATGAATTTCTTTTTTAAGGATTTTATTTATTTATCTGAAAGGCAGAGTTAGAGAGAGGAGAGGCAGAGAGAGAGAGAAAGAGAGAAATAGAGAAGGAGGCAAAGAGAGAAAGAGAGAGAGGTCTTCCATCCGCTGGTTCACTCCCCAGTTGGCCGCAACGGCCGGAGCTGCACCGATCCGAAGCCGGGAGCCAGGTGCTCCCTCCTGGTCTCCCGTGCGGGTGCAGGGGCCAAGGACTTGGGCCATCCTCCACTGCCCTCCCGGGCCACAGCAGAGCGCTGGATGGGAGTGGAGCGTGCAGACAGAACGAGTGTTCTGCCTGCTCTGCCAGAGCGGCCGGCCCACAGATGCAGGCTTTGTCACAAGCGAGCACCACCTTCGGGCACTCGGTCCCTACGTCACCTGGTGCTGTCGTCCTCAGTGCTCCATGAGTCAACACTCCCCGGGCTGGTGTCCCGGGCCTGGGGACACAGCAAAGAACATGACAGGAAGGACCCCTGCCCCGGGAGCCTTACAGAGCTCTCAGAGGGCTCCCGAGAGGGGCAGCGCGCGGGCAAGGGGCGAGGGGTGGGGGCAGACGCTGCACTGCCTTTGGGTCCTGGGCCCGGGACCTGCTACAGGCACAGAGCACAGAAGTTGCACCTGGAGGAGGAGGTGGGGGCTGGGGCTGGGGGCCGGCCAGGCGAGACCACGATTGCATTCTGGAAAGTTCCCCTGGCAGGAGGGGGACAGTGAAAGGAGACCCCAGGAGGGGCCCGCACAATGCTCAAGGCCAGGGAGGGCAGCCGAGGGTCTAGCGGGGAGGGGCAGTGCCGGGAAGCCCCTCCTCATGCACTGGGCACAGCGGCCAGGAGGCAGTGCAGAGGCGTGGGCAGCCGCCCTGTGGGGTCCCTAAGTCTGAGCTGGGCGCCTGTGGTCATCGTGTGGGCGCACGTGCGCCGCAGGAGAGACGGGGGCCCAGACCCCAGAGCAGACCTGGGGTGGGAAACGCGCGGCCCAGGTGGCCAGGGTCCCACGCACGGCCTCACAGCGACCGACGCCGGCCAGCGAGGAGGTCCCAGGCGGGATGTGGCGCCGGAAAGAGGTTGACTGTATAATATTCATCGTATAGAGAGTGAACACCTCACAGGCAACCTATTTCAGGTACCACCGAGTGGCGAGGACTCCAGCGAGGGGGGTCCTTCCTCCAGGACGGCCTCCCGGCCTTCCCGCCTCCGCGCGGATGGGCCCCCATCTGGGGTGCGGGTGCGGGGCAGCATGCGCCACGTCCCTCCCCCAACGCGGCCGGCGCGCGCCAGGCATGCGAGGCGGGATTCTGTGCACTGGGTGTTAGGATGCGTACGTGTGAACACGGGGCGCGGGCTCCCCGCAGGCGCCCCGGGGGCGGCATGCAGGGCAGGCGGGCGGTGGCAGATGCGCCCTGGGCGCGGACCCGCAGAGTCCCCCGCCTCCGGGGCGCCAGGCACGGGATACGGCCCGCCCCTGGGTCCGACAGGCCCAGCCTTGTCCCGGCGTCCCCGGGAGCCCCGGGAAGGCGCCCGGCTCGGTGGCCGAGGGGGCGCGGGGGCATGCAGCCACGTACCGTGCCGCGCGGCGCCGAGCGCTAGGCGGTGCTGAAAACAGGCCATCTGTGTTATATTCGGCTTTAATACAGCGAACTCATCACAGACAACCTCCCCTCAGCACCCACAGCGACGCTGACACGAGTTCTCCACAGCGGCGTCCCGCGACGTCCCTGTGGCCTGGAGGCGCCCTGCGCGGGGGTGGGGAGCGGACACCCGGGTCAGGAGACCGGGGACGGGGCCAGGCCAGCGGCCCCGGTCCCCGTGCCCTCCGGGTGAGAATTGATACCGAGGAAAGATCAACCATCTATTATTCGAAGTCAGCGGAGCGAATGGAACACGGTCGATCTCCCTTCAGGTACCCGGAGAGGCTGCGCCCGCGCCGCCGGCTGCAGCGGGACGCACGCCCGTGGACCAGGAGTTCACTGGGAGCAGTTACTTCCCTCCCGTTCCCCAGGGCGGTGCGGACGCCGGCGCTCTCCCGAGGGCACCCCTGCTGGAATCTGATACCGAAAAGGGGTTCACCGAGCAACATTCGTCGTCCAGATGCAAAGTTGCTCGGGTAACCTCTCCCCAAGTACCACGGAGCGGCGCAGACGCTGACTACGCCGGGCGCCTCCGGAAGACCCACCCAGGGCTCTGGGGGACCGCAGCCGTCACCTCCTGCGCGGCCCCCTCCCAGTTGCCAAGGCAACCACTCCTTGGCCTCCAGGGGGAAAGAGAGGGACCCTTCCCAGGGGGTGGACACACACGGGGCGCGAGCAGGTGGGCCCGTGGCTAAGGAAGAGGAAACTGGCCTCAGCCCGAGACGAGCCCTCTCGGAGGGCGGGCCCTGGGTCCGGCAGTAGCACCTGGAGCCGTGCCCTCCATGGTAGGGCTCGCCCTGCAGAGGGCCACCACCTTCAAAGGCAATGCCACTGCTCACAGCTAGCCTGGCCAGCAGCAAAGCCGGGGGACATCAAGACCAGCGCGGGCCGGGGCACACAAGGGAAGAAGAAAAGCAAGGCTTCTGTTCCTAGAAAGGCAGAACAGCCCGAGTCACCGCCCCCGCCGCCCCACAGCTGCACCACACACACAGCACGCCTCGCGCCACCGGCTGGCCGCGGAGGGCCGGGGCCAGGCCGGGACCAGACGACGTGTGCCACAAGCAGAGTCTGGATTCTGTGCCCACCACCCATTTTGTGAACTTTGGAGTGGGACCGACAGCAGAATCCTTTCCCTGACGTTGGCTGGAGTTCAGAACGCCCCCCTCCCCCCCCAGGCCTGGCTATGATGAGAGCGAGACGCCAGCCGCGGGCAGGGAGAGAGCACATCGCAAGCAAGCGGCTGCCCTCTCCCCACCGGACGCTCACCTGCGCCGGGCAGGCCTCCCGGAGGTGCTCCCGAGAGCCACGGGGCAGCGGGCCGGCCCACGCACACCCTCCACATTCAGGCACGTCCTGGGGGCTGCACCCGCACACACACCCCCCGCCCCCCGAGAGGCTTCCAGCCGCCGGCCACCTCCTGGGAGTGGCTCAGCTCTGGTAATGTTTCCAAGCGCATCTGGAAAGAAACCCATCGTGCAAAGTCGGTTGCAGAGAAAGCACTCAGGCCAGTGACAGCCTCCTCTCTGGGCCGTGGCTGCGGCCCCACGACGTCCCAAACGAGGCTCATGACCAAGTGGCCCTGGGCACCAAGGAAGGGCCTGTCCCTGGCAGGGGCACCTAGAGGCACCAGTGCTAGGGTTGGAGAGGGGATGGAACCCTGGGCTGAACGCTCCAGACTTCTGGGGCAGTAGCGACAGCACCGAGGGCGGCTGCTCTGAGGCTGGACCCCCCCCGCCCCCCTGCCACAGGGATGCGGGCTTCCCCCGGCAGCTGCCTCTCACCGAGAACCCCCACGGGGATACAGGTGACCCGGAAGGGACGTGACCGCGCTGAGCCGCTGACAACAGGCACCCACCCCCCACAGAGCACACCCCGCCAGTGCGTCACCCTCAAGTCCACACATCTGGCCGAGGAAGCTCCCTGGGAAGCTTTGGGATGGAAAGAGCGGCTGAGCTGTGCCCCAGCCCGCGGGCTGCTGTTGACCCCGCTCCGAGCACACACGAGTTTGGCCACTTTACCAGGAATTGTAGCACCATTGATTTTCATAGAAACATGTTTTTCAGAGCGAATTCCATTAAACTAATCCAATTCCCTGCTCAGCTTTCTTGACTGCGCTGTTGAGCTGTTTTCATTTCTTTTATTCCCCTAGTTATTTTCCCCAAATCAGTTTCATTAGGATCAATTCTTTTCCATTTAAATATCTGAATGACGATGCGATTCCGCGACGTGCTTTTGTCTACAGTGAACGTGGCTGCCCGCAGCGGCTGCGCCGGGGGCCCCTCCTGTGGCTGCCAGCCAGCGCCGTCCCATCTCCCCAGGTCAAGCGTCGCAGCAGAGATGGTGTCAAAGAAATTGGATTCTTCTGTCCATTTGTAGTCAATTGAACACATTTGCCTCGGTGCTGTTTCAAGTTTTATTTCATGTTGATTATTTTTATCACTGTTATTTGATACAGATGGGATGGAACCCATGGGAAAACTGAGACTCCCGTCTGGGGGGTGGGCAGCACAGGGAGTGCAGCAGAGGCAAGGAGCAGAGGGGACGCGCAGACAGAACGTGGGCCGTGGCACGTCCACCAGCAAAGAGGGAGTGGGGGAGGCGGGGAAAGAGACGGCAGCCCTCGCTGGCGCCGTCAGGCGTGAGCTTTGCCCACGAGGTCGCAGCATCTTCCGACAAAATGTGGTGCAGCCGACTGCCTCTGGGATCCGTGGCCACGTGAGCGGTATCGAGGTGAGAACTGAACCGGGCTGACCGCCGACATCATCCCTTCGGGCCCCCACGAAGGACTAAGCTATGTCCGCTGCTCCACATCCATGCTCGTCCCGGAGAGGTGCAGACACACGGGACAGGTGTAGACCCGCACTTGCCGCTGGGTCCCGGCAGCCGTCCCAAGCAGGATTTGATGCTCAAACAAAAGTTGCCTTTGTGTGATTCAACATCAATAAAGCGAATTCACCAAGGGCAACCTCTGCTCAAGGATCAAAGGTCAGCGGGGCCCGAGCACCAGCGCCGCTCCTCCGCGGGGACGCGGCCTCCAGGAGACCCCCCCGGCCGGTCGGACAGCTCGTCAGGCTTTCTGGTGGCCAGCTTGCCCATTCCGAGCTGGCTGCAGGGCGGGGCGGGGGGGAGCACACACACAGTGCGCGGACCAGGCCCGTGCCGGGTCGGCGGCTGTCACCCTAACATGCCGTGAACACCAGACCTGTCCCAGCGCTGCTCTCTCCTCCAGGAAGTCCCTGAGGTGGGAATCAACAGAGAGAAGGGAGTGGGCGGGCGTTGAACTCTGGGACCTGCTGGGGTCCACGGCGGGAGGGGCAGGTAGTCCGTGCACCTGTGAAGGTTGGGGATTCCGCCCGCCCGAGGGCCACATCCCCAGAGGGCCAGCAGGCAGTCTCAGGGGAGGCGCAGGGCGCGGGGCACAGGTTCCCAGGAGGCCTCAGTGGGGATGTTCAATGAAGGACACGCGTCCAACTGCGCTCGTTCCAACTGCCGTGTCCAGCATGACTCATCCTGCCTCACGCGCGCCGTGTGCAGCTGGGGACGCTGCCGTCAGTAACGGCACCCACACAGTGATGAGCTTATTCCCTTCTACCACGTGCCAGGTGCTGGGGCCACGCTGTGTCTGGATCGAGTCTACACCACCTTACCTGCAGGAAGTCACCCTACTCCACAGACGAGCAAACAGGGGGCAGGCTAAGACTCACCGCTAGGCAACACCAGGGCGTCAGAGGTGCTGTCAGGGCTCCTTAGCGTACGCCAGGGACAACCAAGTCACACCAGGAAAAGCTTCTTTGAAGCCCCCAGGTCTGCCGTGAGGAAGCCCCCTCCTCCCCAGGTGGGCTCTGCATCCCGAGTCCCCGTCGCGGCCAGCTGGGTAAGAAAGGCCATCGGGGGTGACACAAGGCCAGGAACAAGTCCTCGGGGAAGGGAGAACAGGGACCGGAAGGGCACAGCCTCCACTCAGAGGTCGGCGGCACTGCGGGGCGCCCCTGCCGCCGGTGGCCAGGGCACAGCCACTGACCCGAGCCAGACGCCAGCATGCATCGTGGGAGGGGATCGGCTTCTTACCCCGCACGGCAGCCGGCTGGACGTCCACTTGTGGAGCCTCCCCAAGAAGAACTTAGTACCGAAAGGAGATTGGCCATGTAATACTCATCATAAATAAAATGAACACACCATGGACAACCTCCATTCAAGTACCTGACTAGGGTGCTCCCTCCTGGTGCGTCCCCGACAGCAGCCCTGAGGACAGAGGGGACACAGGGGATCAGGAAGCTGGCGACACACACCACAGCCCAACCCCACGCTCCATGGTCCCGGCCACGTCCAGCCCCTCACTTGCACTTGGCACCACTCCCAGGAAGCCATTCCGAGAGGAGCACGCCGCAAAGACAGAGCAGCAGGAAGGCATCTCTCCTAAGACAGTGAGCCCGGCAGCGGACTCCACGGGGAGCGGGCACCACGAACCCACTGCAGGCCTGCAGGCAAGGACACCCGGGCCCACGTCTCAGCGCGACCGCCAGTCAGCTGCAGACAGCAACTCTGATGCCTGAACTTGGCACCCTCGGGGGCGTGAAGGCCAGACTGCAAAGGGCCAGTGTGTGGCTCCACAGGGGAAGCTGCCACTTGGGTGCCACACCCCGTACTGGAGTGCCTGGGATCTGGTCCCACCTCCACCTCTGACCCAGCTTCCTGCCAAAGGGCACCCTGAGAGGCAGAGGACGACAGCTCGAGGAACCAGGTCCCTGCCACCCACGGGGGAGACCCGGACGGAGTCCCGGCTCCTGCCTTCCGCCCGGCCCAGCCCCAGCTGTTGAGGTGTTTGGGAAGTGAACCAGTGGATGGAAGATATTTTTCTCTCTCTCTTCTGTCTCTGTTGCTCTCCTTTCAAGTAGATGAAAATAAACAAACTTTTTTTTTCACCGTTCTGTCATTCTTTTGTAAAAAGGTCAGTGGTAATTATTCATACACACACACAGAGCAAACCACAGCACAAAAGGCTGCTCTTCAAGTGCCACCCAGCAGCCCCACCAAGCCCCGCCTCCTTGCCAAAGTGGGCAGCAGGTCCAGGAGCCTCCCGGAGGGCAGGTGACCAGGGTAAGGACCAGTGCAGACGGCTCCCTGCTGGGTCTGCTGTGCCCACCCTTCCCCCCCGCTTACCCTGGAGAGGAGCCGACACCCAGGTCCCACCCCTACGTAAGACTCCGCTCCAGGAAGCCCTCCCAGCTGGGATCTGGTACTGGAAAATAGGCCAACCGTGTATGATTCGTCACGAGTACAGCGAAGGCAACACGGATAACCTATCTTCAAGCACCGCAAATCAGCACCGACCAGGTGCCGGCGCCTCTTCGCCGAAGCTGGCCTCCTTCGGAAGTCTCCCTAGGGGCAGAGTCAACATCTGGGTTAGCGGACTGGCTGCTCAAGTGTTCCACCCTGGGCCCGGCAGTGGCCCAGACCTCAGTGCCTTTGCCCAGGGCAGCCGCACACCCAAGGAGCCCTTCCAGGGAGCGTGATGGAGGACAGGCCGAGTGCACACTCATCGTTACTCTAATCACAGCGGGGAACGTTCGTCCACTCAGGACAGCACTCGGCTGACAGCCGTGAACTTTCCTCACTAGGCCTTGTGTCCAGGAAGCCTTCTGATGCTCCAGGTCATTACAGGGAGGCCATAACAGGGATGGCTTTGAAAGCGAATTTTATTTTTCCATGGCACAGCGCTGTTCACATAATCACAGCCTGGTCCTTAATGGTGGGCATGGCCCTCAGGAAGCCTTCCTCAGGACAGCTGGCCCACCCTGGGCAAAGGGTACACCATGCACATGGACACGAGGGATCCAGCTGTCCGCTGCCAGCAGTAAACTCACTCACCCGGCACACGGTGTGGACGCCCTGTCCATCCCAGAAACCGGCATTCCAGGACGGCGTCCTGCCAAGGTGGAGAGTGACACTGAGATGGAGGCGGGCTGAGCGTGGCCACTTTAGATGGAAGCAGAGTGCAGAGCATGACAAGGCCTGCCGACTCGGACGGCAGCGTGGGGCCAGAACACAGCGTCCTCCAGTGCACAGAATGGATCATTTAACCCAAGAAAAGGCCAACAATGCACAGAACAGAAATGTACTCACAGGAGTAACGGAAGAAAACATTCTAGAACCAAAGGCACAACTAAGTCTAACAAGTAGGGCATAATATTGTGACCCAAGAATAACAGCCCACGTTAACCCCAGGTGCAGCTCCAGCCACAGAGTGCAGGGGGAGCCATCTCCCCCACAAATGCGGAAAGACACTGATACAATTCAACCCCGCCAAAGGAACGGGTACAGAAACATGAAGCCGGTGAAGACAAAATTTAATTCAGAGCGACAGCTTGCAACTAGACACGAAGGGACTGGGGGGCACTGCACTAGCTGGAGGACCCCAGGGTGTGTGGTCCTAGAGTTTAAGCACGTGCAGAAACGGGGTACGTGGCCTGGGGCCCCAGGTCAGTGGCCCTAGCGTGGGAGAGGGAGCCAGAAAACCCAAGCGGGCCCAGGGGATTGAAAGGAGGTGGTTACTGCCTAGACAGGGGCACAGCGAAGTCTCTTGGAGCCCGGAAGGCTCCAGGACAGAGACAGGTGAAGATTTTCACCAGCCACGGCCATGGGAACTCTTGAGCCAATCAGCTGAGTAGAAAAACTGGCCCCAGCTGGTGGGTCACAGGAGTCCCAAAAAGAAGAAAATGCAGGTGACGATGCTGTAGCTCTTACGCCTAGGGAGCCACGCAAAAACGCCTCACTCCTCAACTGACAACAGTCTCACAGTGAAAGAACCCATGAAGAAACGCACCACCCCGACAGAGTCCATAGACTCAGCCGAGAAGAGGACTTGAACCCCTAGAGCTAAGGAATTATAGAGTAAGTACCTTTACAGTGACTCAGGAGATGAACTTGAGATCACAATGGCCAAACAGAACTTCACAGGGAAGGAACAGGTGAGAAAAAGCAATGGTTCAAGACAAATGACCTCATAGAATACAGTGACCCAAAGTCTTCCTGACAGTGAAGATCCACTAGTGAACACAGTCCAGCTGAACAAGGACCACATGGAGAAGCCACATCAGAAGAACTAGTGAGGCCAGCGCCGCAGCTCACTAGGCTAATCCTCCACCTGCAGCACCAGCACCCCTGGTTCTAGACCCAGTTGGGGCACTGGTTCTGTCCCGGTTGCTCCTCTTCCAGTCCAGCTCTCTGCTGTGGCCCGGGAGTGCAGTGGAGGATGGCCCAAGTGCTTGGGCCCTGCACCCCATGGGAGACCAGGAGAAGCACCTGGCTCCTGGCTTCGGATCGGCACAGCACGCCAGCTGCAGTGGCCATTTGGGGAGGGCAAACCAATGGAAGGAAGACCTTTCTCTCTGTCTCTCTCTCTCACTGTCTAACTCTGCCTGTCCAAAAAAAAAAGACCTAGTGAAATATTTAATGCAGAACACAATGGAATATCTGCAACTTTCTAAGGGAAAAAAAAATGTTGCTGAGAATTTTATACCTAGCTATGTTGTCCTGTGTGCATTAAACAAGAGCAGACAGCGGCCAATGTGCAAGAACCCAAGGCCAGTGTTCCTGAGCCATTCCAAAAAAAAAAAAAAATGATAAAATTCACTTCACTGAGAAATGGGTACAAATTTTAAAATGATGAATAGAGACGCCTCCTTTCGAGGAAAACAAAAACAAAACAACCAGTGGTCAGGAATGACTCCATCTAAACATCTAAATGTGGGCTAAATACTTTGCAAGAATCACAATTACAGCATAAAATGTTAATATTCTTATTGTGAAAACATTAAAATGCAGAATCCCCCTGCAACAAAAAAGCAGAAGTGGGGTAAAATGTGCAAGTGCTGATTTCCTTCTTTCCAAACTAGAAGTGAAATTAAAACAGTGAAGAGACATAACACAATTAAAAAACTTATAGGAATCTTTCAAGAGTTAACACCTATTGGTTTACTTGGTTAATACTTCTTGGTAAATAAGAGAGATTCAACAATACTTTTCTCTTTTGGCTTGTTTGCTATGTAGAATAAAAGCAAACCTACCGTTCACATTTTTAATACAATGATTAGGCACGGTGTGACCTCAGATCTGTAAGTATCTGGTCTCTACTTTCCTCTCTATTTGCATATTTGCTCAGACAATGTTTGAAATTCCTCAGGTCCATGACAGTCATTCTGGGTACGTGGGGAGTCGAGTGACTCTCCCTTCCCTCTCATTATTTATGTCTTCCGTGTTGCTTGAATCTTTGTTATGCACATGCATTGCATTTACAGATGCAGTAGTCTGGCAGGGTCATAATTCTTGTCGGAAATAAAAACAAGAAATTGGGAACAGGACTGCCCTCTGTCCTCCGTGCATGGCCTCCAGCTCAACAGATGTGGCCTGGGAAAAACACTGAGCCCTAACCAATGCCTGAATTTGTACACACATCTAAGAAGCCCTTCCTCCAAGGTGAGATTTAATCGTGAAAAACAAAGGAATTATCAATTTTTCTTTTTAAAACTACAACTGACCAGCAGTGCCGTAGACACCACTGCTCCCCCAGCCACTGAGGGTCTTCAGATCCCTCCAAAAGCTGCAAGGTCTTGCACGAAGGGACTGCACAAGGACTAGCGGCTCCAGTGGTGCTGGTCCGTGAGTCCCTGCACCGGCCCAGTGTACGCAACAGGAGTGTGGCTTCCCCCAGATCAGCATCAGGCCCAAGACAGCATCTGGTGAGAGGTGATACCAAAGAGGTCGGTCGTGTATTGGGCATCAACGCCTAAGGCGAACTCACCACGGACAGCCTCCCTCAGTACCAGAAGGCGGCGCTGCTGCTGGCAGCATTCCCACATCTTCCACACAGCCTGGGCAGCTTGGGCGTGGTCTCTGAGGGTGGACAGGACCCTGAGGGTGAGTGGACCAGGTGGCTCAATTCCCAAGTCACACCCATGCTCTGTCTCAGTGCGGCCGGCACTTGGCAAAACACACAGCAGCACCTGACCCGGCAAGCACGGCGAAGCCCACCACGCACATCTGCCAAAGCAGGGTAGCCGGCGCCCTGGGAGCCCCGCAGGAGTCCCCCGAGGGGTGCGGGGGCTGCTGTGGGTTAGCAAGCCAAGCTTTCTGTGTCCGGAGGCCTACCAATGAGGGATGCCTCCAGCGCCGTCCCACCAGCAGGTTGAATTCAGCCTTTGGAATTCACTGGGGCCGCCCAACAGCCTCCCTAGCTGGTCTGAAAGCTTGCGGTGCCCGCAGAGGCCGCCCAGGGCTCCATCCCCAGGAAGGCACCGGCCGCGGGCTCAGCCACCCAGAACCCACCTTGGGCCGAGCGCTGGCTCCGGAAGCCCTCTGAGGCAGAGTCTGACACTAGAAGAGAGGAGAGCCGTGTATGACTCGCTTTGATGAATCGAATTCACCATGGCCAGCCTCTCTCCAAGTGCCACGCGTGAGCACCAGCGGGAAAGCCGTCACCTCTCTGGCAAAGGCCGCTGCCCCTCTCGGAAACCCTGTTCAGAACGGGTGGGAGAGCCTTGGGTAGTGGGCCGAGCAGAGTGACATACGCCAGGGTTTGGCACACACTCACCCGAGGCGCGCTTACCTCAAGGGGGCGCCCGTGGCTGGGTCTCCTTAGTCCTTCTGGCCAAGAGAAGGCGCTGTCCCACAGCCATTGTAAGGTGAGCAAGTCATCGTGGTGGCTCCCAGGACGGAGTGGCACTGAGGAGAACAACCCACCCCTCACGGCCAGCACCCCGGGGGGCTCCTGCTATGGAGAGACGGGGTGCTGGGGGTTAGGGGGCTGGGAGACACGCGAGATAACATGATGCACGTGTTTTGCAGCCACACACCCAGGAGTGGGGCTGGCCCACGTTCCGTCCCTCCTGGGAAGTCACCAGCTGGTGGAGGCTGAGCGAGCTCCCAAGGAGGACTCCTTGCATCTAAGTAACCGCACACCCCCACGACCACGGCTCGTGCAGGTCCACCGCGCAGTCCCACTATGTCCACGGCCACTTCTCCAGCAGCGGCGAGGTCTCCGATGTCTTCCTGGGGTGGGGTTGATGCTGAGGGTTGGTGACTAGGTGGCCCACAGGGTGAACACAGCGCACGCCCTCTGGTCAACCAGTCACACACCCTGGATGGTGCTGGCACCAACATCTCTTCCACAGCTGGCCCGGAGCCCAGGACACTGCTCTTCCCAGTCTTCGGAGGCAACGCCGGTGGCACGGCCATGGAAGGCCTCCCGCAGACGGACCGGATCGGGCGACTTACAGGGAGGTCGAGCGAGCGCTGTCCATGGCCAGCCGTCGGTGCCCGGCTCCACGCGGCTGAGAGAGGCCTGGCTTTCCTGGAGTTGCCCTGGTTGTCCGGCGGGTCCTTAGAGGTAGCATTTGGTACTGAAAAAAGTGTTGTCCGTGAATGATTCGTCATAAGTAAAGCGAATCCACCACGAACAACTTCTCTTCAAGTACCACAGAAAAGCAGGGACAAGACAGACAAGGGGTTCCCTTCCACTCCTCGGGGGGCCTGACCTCCAGCCGCCGTCCTGCACGCGCCACCTGCAGGGACACGGAGCGTTAGTGTGGGGCTGGCGGGTGTCGGGAGAAGCCGCCAGCGCACAGGGGCTGCCCACTCACCTCCCCTGCAGTGAGGCCGAGTCCACGCCGCCGAGCGTAGAGGTTTCTGTCGCAGGTGCAGAGTCCTCCGTGGGGGTGTAGCCCCGGGGCCTGGATCTCTCGACAGAACGGTCAGCCACCGGCGCCACAGCCTGTGGGGCCCATGAACTGGGGTGAGGGGTGCTCCCGTGGGAGCCACCCAGGGCCCCCGCAGGGCCTCCTGCATTGATCGGGCAGGCAGCTCAGGGGGCACCCTCGGGGGGTCTGCGAGAGGCTCCCCCTGCTCCGCCACCCATCTCACCCCCAAGAACCGCCAAAGAAAGCAATTCCAAGAAGGGTGCTGAACAAAAACCACTGTCCATCCGCCCCAGAAGACCTTCGGGCCGTGGGACCAGGTCTGAAGCCCATCCAGGTGCCCAGAGCTCAGCAGGAGACCCCGTCTCCCACACTCCACTCCTGTGTGACACACGTGGGGCCACAGCCCGTCACCAGCAGTCGCTGTGTCCTCATGCTGTTCCCTGCCTCTTTCTGCCATCCTGTTCCTTCTTGCTCTAACACCGAACCGTAGGTGACGTGATGTCCCCTAACACACGTGTCGCCGTCCGCCTCGCCCCCCAGAGTGTGTGTCTTGTCCACAGCTCAGGCTGAGGTCCAGCATCAGCCAGAACAGTCCATCCTGGTCTGTGGGCTCACTGAACCGTCCCTTGCGGGCCGTGGGGAGACACTAGCATTGAGAGAATATGATACAGAATGAGAGAGACCCCCATCGGACAAGCCCGGTGGTCAGAGCAGGCTGAGACCCCCATCGGACAAGCCCGGTGGTCAGAGCAGGCTTCCCTCCCCCAGCGCAGTCACCACAGCGGGCCCCATCAGGACCTGGGCTCGGCTCCACGTCCCCACGCACACCAGCAGCACAGCCGTGGCTCGCAGAGAGCGGCCCCGCTCCCAGACAGCCTTCCCAGGGAGGCGCTGGCTCTCAAAAGGAGTCGGCCCTGGGGCTGCAGCAGGAAGGGCGGCCGGTGAGGGCTCCGTCCATCGAGCACAGCCACTGCCTTCTTAGGCTGCCCTTCCCCAGGGACCGGATTCTGGTCGCATGGGCGATGGGCGACACCCACCGAGGAGGGGGCAGGTGCCCTGCCATCGGCCATCCACGTACGTACCTCGGCAGGGGCTGGGTTCTGAAGCAAGCCCCCCTTCCTGACGGCAGGACACGGTCCAGGGAGTGCTCCCGAGCAGTATTTGATACTGAAAAACTGGATGTCCCTGTATGATTCGTCACAAATACAGCGAACACAGCAGGGATAGCCACTCTCCCAGTACCGAACCCGGTGCCGTCGAGCTGCGTCTTCCCGCGGGCGGCCTGGGCTCCGGCTACTCCTGCTCAGGGTGGATTGGGGACTGCAGTTAGCAGAACCGGGAGGTGCCCACCGTCCATCGTGTCCACCCCCGGAGCCGGCTGGGGCCGACAGTGCCTCCTGGGAAACCTCCCAGGCACACAAGGCCACCTTTGCAGCATGAATATGGCAGGCGCAGGAATGAGACCACCGTCTCAGGGCCGGCCCACAGCCGCCGTCAGGAAGCCCGCCTCCAGGAGTGTGTCCTGAGGAGTCATGGGGACAGGGAGGGACTGTGGATCAGCTGACACACACCATTAATAAAACGTTATGTTCTCTGGTCAACCGTCCACTCCACTACCGCCGACAGGGCCCGGCCCCCAGTAGGAGCGTGTCCTGGAAACCGGCAGCCATGGTGCAGGAGCGGCCACAGCACCCCGACACCTCCGCCTAGAGGACTCCCTGGCTCCACCCTCATCACGTCCCAGCAGGAATTCAGGAAAGTGCGGGTCAAAGGCAGGAAGGATGCCACGCTGTGACTCAGAGAGTGTCACCGAGGGGGCCCGCTGTGGACAGCACCGCCACCAAGGAGCCCCTGCCTCCCCCGGGGGCAGCCTGGATGCCGAGGGCCGAGGACGGAGAAAGCCTGCGACACGTCCCGTGGTCGCTGTTCCACGGGCTCTGCCCAGGGAGGGGCCCTCACGACAGCACCGGGGAGAGGGAGGGCGCTGAGCACGGCGGGGTCTGGCCCAGAAGCGCCCCAAGGCCCCACTGGGGCACCAGCGGAGCCCCGCCTGCGGGGACCTGGCCGTGGTGCTGATCCAGGTCTGCGCTCTGAAGGCGGGGCTCTCCATGTGCCCCTCCACCCTATCACAATGCCATCTGTCAGGGACACGGGAAGCCCCCAACAGGCCCTCACCAAGGCCTGCAGGCGACGCTTGCAGCCTCCTCGGGCACCCCCTAAGGAAGAGGAGCCCTGTTCATCACCACGGCGCACGCCGAGTCACCTATCCGCACACACCCACGGCCAAGGCTGGTGGGGGCCTTCGGCGGGGCTGGCGCCCCCTCGGGCATCACCCTGAACTGACTCTGTCTGAGGACTCACCCACGCGTGTCGACGCGGAGAACAGTCGCTGGGGCCGACGCCAGCAGCTGCAGAAGGCTGCCTCCCAGCGGGCACTGAGCCCACAGAGACTGGGGTCGGCCAGGCCACGTTCCTGTGTCTTCTTCCCAGGATGCCTCTGGGCCAGGTGGTGTCCGTCAGGGGAGTGGAGGAATCCAGTCCCAGAGACAGCGGCCAGGAACCCTGCGTGGACAGTGGGCGCTGGCCTGCAGATGTCCATCTGGGGAGGAAGTGGACACTGGGGCCAAATCATGCATCTGGGGTGGCAGCCCGCCTGCCTCCAGGGAGCCCCCGGGACAGGCCCTGACTCAGGTGGACAGACTCAGGTGTCGGGGTCTGCATGGAGGAGGCGGCCTTGCCGCGAGTGTCCCCAAGGGGAGGAAAACCATGCCCTTTCCACCAGAAAGCCACCCTGGAAAGGACGGGGTCGGGGCACCAGGACCAGGAAAGGCTCCGAGCCTTGGGTGTGCTCGTGGGCTGGGCGCAGGTCGGCATGGAAAGAGGGACAACTCCGTGCAAGTGACAAACACAGCAAATCCACTGCAAACACAGCAGAGCCGCCTGGGGCGCCCCACCACCACCACCATCACCAGAGAGGGCCCCCAGGAGGCTCATAGGGGGCCCAGGCCCGGGGCGCACACACAGCACACGCTCTCACGTCTCTGGTGCGGGCGGCCCTCCGAGGCAGAGTTTGACATTCAAAAAGAGGTTAACCATGTATTATTCATGATGAACAAGCGAACATAACACGGTTAACCTCTCCTCAAATATCCTCCAAAAGTCCTGACCGGACACCGCGGCCTCCTCCCCGCTGCCACGCCGGGAGACTTCGCAGGGAGAGCCGAACCCCGAGGCCCACGTCCTGGAAGGAAAGCACACAAACCGCCATCAAGCCCCGGTCCCCCGTCTGGTCCGGCCATGCCGCCAACATCCAAGACCCCAAGCTGGAACCACCCAAGGCGGCTCTGGGCCAGGGGATCCCAAAATCCGCCCCCTTGGGACTCCCTAGGGAGAGGCGAGATTTGAGGACAAGAAGCTGGCATGTGAGTGCGGATCGGAGGTCAGCCACGTCATCACGGACAACTCTTCGGGTACAGTGGGGGTCCCTGTCGCTCCAGTCAGGACTCACGGGAGCTGCAGGGCTGTGCAGGCGCAGCGACAAGGGCTGAGGTCACTGCGACCCAGCACCTCGGGGAGCCCCTCGAGCGGGTGCACGCCAGCGCCCCTCCCTGTGCCCGTGTGGGCGCCCTTTGGTGTTACAGCAAGAGCAGCCTCACGGCTCTTGTGCGCAGTCGGGCAGCGTGCCGGTTCTGGGAGTCCTCTCCCGGCGGATGTGAGGGGGGCACGGGGAGATGCAGATGGCTACCGCGTGCCGACGCCGACCCCGACGGCTCCAGCTGTCGTGCACAGACCAGCTGCTGCGGCAGCACTCAAGAACTTGCTAAAAATGCAGAATCTTGGTCCCGGAATCAGAATCTGCTTTCTACCAAGATGCCTTGGTGATGACCATCTGAGCCGCATTCTAGAGTTTGAGCAACATTAACCCAGCCGAGGAGTCACGGTGCACGCGCACGCACGTCCCAGGGGCGCTGGTGGCCACGGTGTCTCCACGGCCACGTCCGTGCTCAGGAGCAAGGAGAGGCAGCCGCGGCAGAGAACGCACTGCGCTTCCCTGACGGCTCAGGACCGCTACGGGACGTCCTCCAGTCCGGAGCAATGCCCACCACCCATGTGCCCCGCCTTGCCCCCAAGGCATCTCCCTGCGGCTAAGATGTGATAAGGAGAGGCAGAGGGGCCTCAATCGACATCTTGCAGCTAAGATGGGAGGGCCCTGAAGTCCCACAGGACCACCGGAGGCTGGCCGGAGTCCGAGATCCCCCGGCCGGCTGGCACTCTGAGATCCTGGAACGAAGTCAGCACAAATCCCCCAGAGCCGCGCTCCAGGGCGGGGCAGACCCACGAGCCGCACGGCACCGTGTGCGCGAAGCCTTCTGAAGCCATTTTGGATACTAAAACAATGGTTGTCCGATATTAATCACCATAAATATAGAGACCATACTACGGACAGCCATTCTTTAAGCACCAAGGAGCCGCGCCATCAACGGGAGCCAGCCGCTGTCTCTTCAAAGCTGCCGTCTCTTCCAGAAAGTCCTTCTCAGGGGCCCCACACAAGGGGGCCGAGTGGGTCGGCACCACACAGGAACTGCCGGGTCACGGTGCCACTCGCAGCCAGGGGGAGGGGGCCTGAGCCCAAAGACCTTTCCCCAGCTTCATGACCAAGAAGCACCCAAGGGAGGCGGGATCCGACTCGCTACGGCCGCTGCCACTCATCACACACACCCGTGACCGACACGTGTCCGGGGCGGCGCCAAGGTCCAGAGCCGATGCACAAAGGCCCCCCCCCCGGCACCCAGCTGCAGGCTCGGCCCCCACTCCGGGTGTGAACCCCCAGAGGGGCTGGCGCATGCAGCCCTCCACAGAACTTGTCAGCGCGTCCAGGAAGTCCGCCGAGGCAGGATTTGATACTCAAAAAGAAATTGTCCTTGTATGATTCATCACGAATAAAGCGAACACACCAAGGATAATTTCTCCTCAAGTATGAAACAGCAGCACGGGCAGGAAGACCGGCACCGCCGGGCTCGAGGGTGGATGGCGCCTGCGCGTTTGGCACGGTGTGCTGGAAGCCAGCGCGAGGACGGCGCTGGGCACCCTCGTCGTCTCCACCCACTCACACGTACCTGGGGAGGCTCGGCTTCCACGCTGCGACACCGGAGCGGACTCCAAGCAGGGACGGTGAGGACAGCACCACCATCAGTCCAAGTGCCCGGGCCACCACCTGTGAGGAGCTGAGGACCAGGCCCAGGGCTGAGCCGAGTCCCAGTCTGAAAGCACGGAGCCCGAGCCCTCCTAGGCCGCGTGGGACAGCAGGCACAGCCCGCAGACGCCTCGCCTGAGGCCGCAGGGGCTCGGAAACAGCGGGAAACGGAGCTCCAGAATCTGCGCTCTTGATACTGAAAAAGTGGATGACCCTGTACGATTCGACATGAATAAAACGAACAGGACAGGGATAACCACTCCCCAAGTACCAAAGGTTAGCACGCAAAGGAAAGCAGTCGCGCTGGGTACACCTGGCACATCTTCAAGGCGGGTTCCTGGGGACGAATTAGACGCCAAGGGTTAGCGGCTCGGGGGCTGGAGCCAAGCGCGACATGCACACTCGCACCCCAAACAACAACGAGGCCCGCGCGGGAACAGCGGCCCACGCCACACACAGAGTGCATGCTTCGGGACCCACCCGCACACGCAGAACCAGGCCAGGGAGGGCCCCGAGGCCTCCGTGCGCCCGTGGGGTCATCTCCACCAAGTGGCGCCCCGGGAGCAATGTGCACACACGGTCATGCACACACGTACCGCGTCCCTCGCTGAGTGTGGACGGGGTCCAAGACAAGGTTTGATACTCACAGAGAGCTTGCCCTTGTATATTGCATGTCAATGAACAGAATATACACAGGGCAACCTCGCTTTAAGTACCAAACAAGAGCACGGGGCAGGCTCAGCAGTCCCGGTCACCGGCTCGGCCTTGTCACCAGGGGTTCATCCTGGGGGGTGGGAGACGCGACCTCAGCAGCCCAGGCGGGAGCCCCACCTGCCGGGCGTGTGCCCGCGGCTCCGCTCTCCATCCCACAGGCCCCATCACTGGCATCAGAGCTCACTCGGTCAGGGTCTGGGCCTCAACAGGAGCGCGGCATGGCAGCTTCCGGGTGCAAGCACACAGCTCCGGGCTTCCTGCAGTCTCCGCCCCCCACCCCGCCCCTGGGCGGCCACCTCCTCCGGGAAGTTCTCCGCAAGGCGCACTGGGCATCAAGGGCGAGGGAACACAGCAAAAGCCCTGGGGTGGCTGTGACCACATGAGGGCTCCCTCCTATCTGGCTGAACAGCTGACCTCAGGAGCCACCAAGGGGTGGAGAGGGCAGAGCCCTGGCCCGCCCCTACAGGGGTAGAAAGAGGAGAGCCCTGGCCACCACCACCCCCCCACACAGCCGGCTCTCCGCCAGGGAGGGCCTGCACTGACCAGTGAGTGCCTAGGCAAGGGGCTCACCTCTCCTGCACAGGACATCCGCTTTCCCGGGACGGGGGCTGCTGCACGTGTCCCTTCCCCACGCCGGCCGGGGCAGTCAGGGTGACAAGCACCAGGTCCCTCAGCCCCTTCTTGAGGCATCCGTCCCGCAGGTGAACGGAATGCTGGCGGTCCGAGGGCCGGGGCATGAAGATCCGGTGCGCTCTGACCTTCCGACACCCACGTACCTGGTGCAGGAATGCCAGCCCCCAGGGTCTCCCCCAGAGCTGGCCTCCCATCCAGGCAGGACCTGAATCACAAATGACACAGAGACACAGCTCTGAGAAATCTACCATGTCCCAAAGAGGGGCTCTGATGAGGTTGCCACCACCTCCAGCAAGCTCTCCTCCAGGGCGGGAGATCAGGAAGGAAGCCAGCGTGAATGAAGGCCGGCCCTTGAGCGAGCATTTATCAGTCTCCCTGCAAAGGTGGAGGCTGTGACTGGGAGGCCTCCCCTGGTGGGACTGGTCCCCGGCACCCCCAGTGCAGGGGACAGGTACCAGAGGGCCCGCCCCTACCCCACAGCCTGGTCCAGAGCCCAGGGTGCAGGGGACCGGCGGGCAGGCGGCACAGCCGGCACCTGTGTCCCAGGACCGGGGGACGGCACCTACCTGAGGGGGCCAAGGATGGGGCTGCGCCCAAGCGCCCTCCCAGGCAGAGTTTGAGGCACAAGTAAGAGTCTCCCCTGTGTATTCGCCGTTCATGAAGTGACCACTCACAGTGCATTCTCTCTTCAAGCACCAAAGAGCAGCTCGAGGAGCCACGGCTCCGTGGCCACGCCCAGTGTGGTGCCCGTGCCTGGCCTGGCGCCACCCGGCCTCACACTGACTCGGCTTCAGGCTCCCGGACAGCCAGCGCAGCTCTCTACCACGTGCCACAAAGAGTGAGTGTGAAGTATCTGTCATCTCTTAGTGGCCTGCAGAGCACCCTCCCTGGGAAACAGCCACTGCCTCCAGGAAGCCCTCCTTGGCTGGTGGGGGTTAGGCCACAGCAGTGTGCGTCGTCATGGAAGAACAAGCAGAAAACCAGCACATTCTGGGATCCACCGCCACTCACACGTCTTGCAGTGGCGCTAAGACAGACGCCTCTTCTGCAGAACCGTGGTGGCGCTCGGAAAGCCACAAGGGCCACCCGGACGGGGAGCTGTTGCCCAGGTCGCCAAAGGCAGACACATCCCCCAGGGCCGACTCTAACTAAGCAGAAGAAGCGCAGGTGGACGCCTGTGGCAAAGGGACCCCCGAGGCTGAGTCCCCTGAGCGCACTGGGCACTCTGGGGCCATCCTCCCTCTCGGCTGGCCCCAACACGCACCCTTCTCCCTAAGTAGTGACGATAAGGCCCAAAAGGCACTCTAAGCATGAGCTGGGGACGGAGCGCAGGTGGACCAGACGGCCGACATTTCGGTGAGCGGCTGACTTTGCCATTGGTCATTCTTGGGCGTGTGTGGGAGATGAAGCAATCATGAAATCTCCCAGAGAGGCAGCTCCAACCAGGAAGGCAGCGATTCCCAAACAGAGCAGCAACTCGGGAAGAAAACTGCGGCCCAGTCGCCCGTCTCCGCAGCCACCAGCCCTTCAGAAGGCGCCCAGCAGGGGGTCAGAGGGCGGGGCTCACAAACCCAGAGGGAGGCGGCGGGGGGGAGAGGGTGCCGCGAGCTGCCCGGGCACTGCAAACCCGACAAACCCGGGGAAGGCACCCACCAGCCAGGGGCAGGCAAGAGCACTGGTGAGGAATCACCCTCCCCGGGACAAGAGTGGCATCCATGCCAGAGGGACAGGCAGGGCCCAGGGCTGCAGAGCACCCCAGCGGTGACGTCCACACCCATCCCGTGTCCCCAGAGCAGCGCCCATCCGGGACCAGACCGCCCACCACGGGGGCACTCTCTAAAGCGGCACTGGGTACAGAGAGGGGGTTCCAGAGCACACAGAATGCACGCGGTCAGCACGCAGAGGGCCAGGTCGGTGAGCGCGCGCGTGCCGGTCGGTTCCCGGACCCGAGGGGCACCGGGGTGGGGGTGGGGGCGTCCTTTCTTCTGTGGCGACGTCGCATCCGCGGAGTCTTTCCCAGTCGCATTTGATACTGAAAACGTGGATTTTCCTCTATGATTAATCATAAATAATGTACTCATAGAAGGAGAATCTACCTTTTAAATACCAAAGATGGTTCCATCCGGGAAAAGGCGACCTGTGTTCCAGCTGTCAAAACAGAATTCACCCGGCGGCGGGGGGAGGGGCGCGGGGGCGGGGGGCATCAGTCCCACGGGAGAGGCGGCCAGAGGGAGCCACAAGCCCGCCTTCACCGCGGCTGCGGGCCGGAGCTCGGGGGCAGCCAGGCGCACGTGCCACCCACCCCCTTCTCGCCTACCCAGGCCCCACGGCGGCCTCCAGGGAGGCTTCGAGAGCAGCATTTGATACTGAAAACATGGATTTTCCTCTATGATTAACCAGCAATCACGTAAACATAGAAGGAAAATCCACCTTTTAAATACCAAAGACAGACCGGAAAAGGCGGCGCTGCACACAGCCGGCCAGAGGCGGGCGCTCCTCGGCGACAGGGGGCTCCGAAAGGTGACGGTCGGCAGACATATGGCGCCAAGTGAGCACATGTCCCCGGCCGCCACCCTTCCACTCTCCCTGGGGGCTGAGCCCTGCCTCGCGCCCCTGGCGGCGGCTTCGGTCCAGCAACGTCTCCAGAGCGGCATTTGATACTGAAAATGTGGATTTTCCTCTATGATTAACCAGGCAACACGTAATCATTGAAGGAAAATCTACCTTTTAAATACCAAAGACGACTGCGACTGCGCAGCGAGCGGGCGCGAGCCTGGGCACCAAGGCGCCGACCTTCAGGCCGCACTGTCCGCTGCCTCGCAGACGCCGCGGCGACAGAGCGGCCTGGGCCGGCGGGTGGCCCGCAGGCATGTGGCGGGAACCGGGCACATGCTCTGTGGGCCACCGTGGCGCACTCACCCTGGCGGCCCTGAGGCTGGCTGCAGTCCAGGGTGGCGCCCAAGCAGCATTTGATACTGAAAATGTGGATTTTCCTCTATGTTTAACCACAAATACATAAACATAGAAGGAAAATCCACCTTTTAAATACCAAAGGAGGACTTAGCCCCAGAAGGCATGGCACTATACACGGCAAAGCATGCAGGGTTGGGGGGAGGGGTGGCAGTGACACCAAGCCCCCGGGGGAGGGGCTAACAGCGTTAACCTGGCTTTCCTCCCCTAGGGGCTGGCCTGCTCAGAAAGCTCATGAAACAACTGGGGGTACTGAAAATGCTGATCTTCTCTCTATGAATAACCAGGAATCCGTGGACATAGAAGGAACATCCACCTTTTGAATACCAACACCATGGCCCTGGCACTCTCCACCCTGAACACAACTCAGCACAAACACAAGTGGCGCCCGGCGACAATGGCTGCCCTGGACTGCAGCTCTCAGCCTGAGGGGGGCTGGAGGGCAGGGCTCACGCGCAGGCCACCTTCTGGGCCTGGCTTGTGCCCCTCGCCCCGGTGGGGGCCGCCCTCCAGTCTCTGCCAGCAGGGGGATCGCTAAGGCCAGGCGTCTGCCCACAGCACCACTGAGCTCCGTAAAGGGGGCGTAGCTCAAAAGCTCACTATAAATGAAGGAGGCAGAACCAAAACTCTGGCGACAAAAGCGTCAGCGTCAGGACAAAACCTCGCGGGGTCCCTGAAGTCAGCGTCACCTCCACAAACCCTGATGGCCGAGGTCTTAGCAGAAGGTGGGCTAGGGCATCCATGGAGGGAGGACAGGGAACGTTCTGGAAGGTTCCAATAGGCAAGGATCCAACAGGATAGACCATGCGACTATGCAAACAGATCACAAACACTGTCTCTTCAAATGCAGCGGGGTGAGTGACGCGTGCCGTGCACCCACGACCACCACCGCCGCCGCCTCTCGGGAAGAAGCGTCCACGCCACCTTGGTAAGGCATGCCTCCCAAAGCTGGCGTCGGGACCTACTCTGCAAGACTGCCATCGCCTCCAGGAAGTCCTCCGTGAAACTGACTGAACCGTGGGGACGAATGGGACGAGGACGAATGTTCACAGGCACAACAAATGCTTGAGGCCAGCCCTCCACAGCCATGCAACCCGGGGGCGGCCACACCAATCCCGCCTTCCCAGGGAGGGAATCGGTCCCAGAAACGGGAAAAACCCCTGCCTCCCACCAGGGGAGACCTAGGTGCTTCCCCGAGGCAGAGGGGCGCTGAACGCAGGTGGCCCAGCAGACCCCCTCCCAGCTGTGAAGAGCCACACACCCCCCCCCAACACACACACAGCTGAGGAAGCCCTCAAGGCCCCGGGCAGGCTCTGCATGAACTCAGCCAATGCGCTGGACAAGGGCTCCTCACGTCCCGGCCGCAGCACAGCTGCGACCCCACGGGGCTGGGTCTCCACGATGCCCTGTGGAGGAGACAGGAGATGTGGCTGCCTGGGGACTGGAAGGCCCAAGGCAAAGGAAGTTAGGGATTCCCGGTGGCCCCCATCATCCAGGGGAAGCCTGGCCACGGGCGAGGACACGGGTGTCTCTCCTTGGTTTAGTGAAATGCAGGCACCAGGGCGGAATCTGGGACAGGGGCCGTGCCAGGCCGGGAAGCTCTGTCACATGTCGCCCACCCACAGGGTCCTTCCCAGGGCCTGCGGGGCAGGCGGCTGCTCCGCGGGCACTCGGGCTGCCACCACCTCACGCGGGGTTTGTCCGAGATTTCAGCTCTCCCGCCTGCCTGGCAGAAGGCAGGGTGAGGGCCCCACGGCGACTGCAGAGGGGCAAGCAGAGGCCATGTCTGGGGCCAGGGACACCTGCAGCAGGAGCCTCAGGTGACATAGGAAAATCTACAGGCGTTTGATTTAAAAAAAAGTTTTATAATAAAAGACACCAGTATGCTTATCATACAGTCATAAAAGTCCTCATACACGTCATTCTTTTTCTCCAGGGTGTAGCCCACCTTCTCTGCTCGGTCAGAGTTCAAGCCCTGGGAGCCAAGGCGCTGGACAGCGCACACGGAGCGTCCTCCCACAGACCGAATGACTGCGTTGAACACGTTTCTGTTCACATTTCTCTGTCAATACTTCAAGAAGAAATCGGGCTTGTAAATCTAATTTTTTATGTCCAGATTTGACCTTAGAAAATGGGATTATATGGTGATTCATTCAATATCTTCTCAACTCTCAAAATACAAAATAAAGGAAAACACTTGCCATCTGGCCCACCATCTGGCTGACACCCACCTCCCGTCGCTGGACGTGACGTCACACGCAGCCGTAGCAGGAGGCCTTTAGTGCTACAAAGAAACCGGCCATGTCAAACCCGCTGCGAACAAGGCCCACACCTCACACAACCTCCCTCGCGCACCTCGGGGCCGCCTGCAGCCGCCTGGCACCCCGCTCTGCACAGCCCACCACAGGGGACTGGGGGGGTTCCCAGCATGTGCCTGGGTGACCGCCCCCCCCAGGCACCATGGAATCATGGGACAGTCGTGCTTCAGGTCCACCCAGTGCCCCAGGGGGGGACGGAGTGTGGATTGCAAGAGCCCAACAGTCCACGGGTGACCACCTGACCCCTCCACGTCCACCCTGGGAGGAGCAGCCACAGCTCCCACAGCCACTGAGGCCGTCTGTGTGGGGTCCTGGGGGGCTGCTCTCCTGTGGACGCTTCTCAAACTGGGAGGAGCTTCTTCCCCTGAAAGCCTCCCTCGCGGTGGGGGTGGGCCTGGGGCTGGGGCCACCCCCAACCACCCACGGCCCGCCGGAGGCTGCATGTCACAAGGTCCCAGTGCCCCAGGTGCCCAAGCGGCCAGGGCGCCCTTCCAGGCGAGATCTGATGCCGGAAAAGAAGTGCACCATGTTTGTTTCGTCACACATACAGCGAAAATAACATGGGCAACTTCTTCTCAGGAACCACAGGCTGGGCGTGGGCCCCTGGGCGGCGTCTGTGTGGGTGAGGGGCTCTGGGGCCGGGGCCTGGCCGGCGGGGCAAGCACGGGCAGCGGACTCCTCCGGGAAACAAGGGGCCCCGCACCCGGGAGGCGGCAGGTGCATCCCTCCCGGCTCCCCGGCTCCCCAACTCCCCGGTCCTCGGCTCTCACGCGTGGCCAGTTCGCGTGGCTGGGAACCAAGAACCCACCAGTGAGAGCCCAAGAGGAGCAGGAAGGAGGGCACGCAGGTGTCCGCGTCCACCCGCACAGCTCCCGCAGCGGGGCCGGGGCGGGGCCGGGTCAGTGTCGGGCGGGGGCGGGGTCGAGTCGTCCCCATCCCACTGCAGCCCTGCCGCGGGGGCCTGGCCACTGCCCAGGTCTCCGGAGCTTTTCAGGGACCGGGCTGCATGGCCGGCGTCTACACAGCCCACGCCCCCTCCTCTGGGTCTGCAACCGCTGTGGGGCCTTCAGAAGGAACATGGACGTCTGCAAGCTGCTCTCACGGCTGGGGGGGAGAGAGAGAGAGAGAGAGAAGACAGAGGTGGAGAGAGGAGCGAGGGGAGCGGGGAGGAGACGGCATGGGAAGGGAGGGGAGGAGAGGGGAGGGAAGGGGAGAGCAGAGAGGGAGAGTTCCTTTCCCAGAAGCCCCAGCAAATGTCCCCTCGCATCTCATTGGCCCAGTGGGCTGACAGGGTCCATCTTCGAACCAATCAGAGCAGCCAAGGGGGCGGGACCTAGCATGTCCCAGCCACCCCTGCGGCACAGGGGCGAGGCGGTCGGTGCAGAGCACACGCGTGGTGGGGCGTATGCGGGGCACGCGGGGCACGCAGGGCCGGCGCCCGGCGCCCACTCCAAGTACCAGCGTGCCTTCCCTGGCCCGCACGGGGCCGCGACGTCGCCGAGGCAGAGTAGGATACTGAAAAAGAAGTGCACCGCGAATGTTTCGTCACAAATACAGCGAAAAAAACACGGGCGACTTCTCATTAAGCACCGCACGTCAGCGCCGTCCGTCCGGGAGCGCCAGCGACAGACACGCGGCCCGCGGGTGCTCCTGCGAGCGGCATGTGTGTGAGTCACCCTTGGGGTTGTCCTTAATGTGCTAAGTCTCCTTAGGGCCTGCAGAGTGGCCGTGACACCGAAACACTGGCTTGGTCCCACGCAGGCCCCGCCGGGGACAGGGGGGAGGAGGAGGGGGAGGGGGAAGGAGGAGGAGGAGGGGAAAGGAGGGGGAGGGGGAAAGAGGAGGAGAAGGGGGAGAGGGGAGGGGGAAGGAGGAGGGGGGAGGAGGAGGGGGAGGGGGGAGGGGGGAGGTGCGTGGCGGGCGGGCCGCTCCGGGAGGGGCTTCCCCATCCATCCGCCCCCCCAGGCACCAGGCTCCCCTAAGGGCGGCCCTGGAGCCTCCACAGCTGAGCAGCCGCGGCGGCAGCCGCACGCCCACACGAGCCGGGCATGAATATGGCAGAAACCCAGGTTCTCTGCCCAGGAGGGCCACCGGTGCGCACCCCCAGCCTCGCCCCCAGAGCGGGCCTGGCCACCTGACTGTCCACATGCACGCTCCCCCCCTCCCCGCCCTCCCCTGGAGCCGGCAGCAGGTGCAGGAGGACCCCTGGGCTGGGTCTGACTCAGGGGGGCACCCGGTGGGTCCCGGCCCTCGTGGGCGTGGCTGGGCCACGGACCCAGAGAGGAGATGGAAGCAAGGCCGCTCTGCCCCGGCTGTGAGCGTGGACGTGAGGTCCACCCAGGGCGGGGCTGGCTGAGTGGGTATTGCCCAGGGTGCAGCTGCTGGACCCCCAAGCCGGTACTCACCAGTGCTGCCGACACCACTGCCCCACGTGGACCCTGGGCTCCCATCCAGGCAGCCCTCCAGGTGGCATTCACTACTGCAAAGAGACAGCCAGTCGGCGTCACTGTACAAGAATTCAGCAGGCAGCCCCTCTTCAAAGACCACAGCCGCCCCCAGCATGAGTTCTGCTACCACCCCAGCCCCACCAGCCCTCCCCAGGACGGACGCACGGTGCAGGTCCCGGCCAGCACCCCCGCGTGGGCCTGTCTGGTGGGCCTTTCCCTTGCGTGGACTCACACCGCGGCCGCCTCCCTGGCACTGTCAGTGGTCAAGCCAGCAGCCCTCCCGGGCAGGATCTGAGCCTGGAAAAGATGCACTGATCAGAAAGGTTAGAAGGAGGGGCCTACAGATTCGCCCTGGCCCCTGTCCTCCCACGCCTTCAGAGTTTCCCCCGTGCAGCGGGACGTCATCCCACAGGGAGCCGGGGTGCTGACCGACGGCGTAAATGAAGTGCACGCCGTGGGTCTGCCATCCCCTCAGCGATCCTGGAGAGCGGCTGGCACTGCTGTCCCTTCGGTGGCACTTGTGGTGTGTCTACAAAGCTGCCCCCAGGACCTCGCGCTGCAGGGGCACTGCCCACTGTGAGCCCCATGGGATGGCACCCCCGGCCAGTCTCCCCGCACAGCAGAAACCTGGGCCCTCTGCAGACTTGGCGTCCTGCCAAGGAGCCCTCCACGCAGGACTGCGTCTCAAGGGCTCCCCCATAACCCGTGTCACACAGCCAGTCGCCTTTCCAGTGCCTACCCAGGGCCGAACCAGCCACCTCCCTCCCCTGAAGGCTGCCCCAGAGCCAGGAAGAGCCTCGGGGGTGGGACTGGGGACTAACGCGCGTTCCCCTGTATGTTTCATCAAAAATAAAGAGAAGACAGCACAGACAGCCTCCCCGTCAAGTATCGGACATTAGCACTGCTCAGAAGACAAACAAGAAGCCAAACCACACAGACAAAAATGTCTTAGAGTCTCTACCAGTGATGCTAAGGCCACCTCCAGGAAGTTTGCCCGGGTCTCCGAGGCTGGGTAGACCAGATGTCCCAGTCTCAGCTGTGCAGAGGCTCTGGGTAGCTTCCGGAGGTGAGTGGGAAATGCTTTGGGACCTGACCCTGAAACTTCACAGGAGAAGCTCCGCCCAGCAGCACAGAGCTCCCTCCCCCCACAGCCTCGCCAGGCTCCTGACGGCCCAGCAGGCCTCAGAGGAGGCCTCCCACAAGCAGTCAGTGCCCCAGTGTGAGCATCAGGAGGGCTCAAGACAGATCTGTGGTTCAGAGGGAAGCGGCAAGTGGAGGCCGAGGAGCAGTGTCCAGGCCACCGCCCTTGTCTGTCCAGGGCGGGCAGCAGGGGCTCACCTGCACCTGTTAGGCCACCCTCGTCTGTCCAGGGCAGGGAGCAGGGGCTCACCTCCACGTGTTAGGCCACCCCTGAGCCCACTGCCAGAGATGCGAAGATCAGCATTGCTCCTAAGCACGCCACTGGCACGGAACCGGGCTGGCACGTGCGACTCCCAAGAAGCCAGAGGAACACAGCCGCAGGGAGCCCACCTGTGCGTTCTGGGGTGTAGAGCCATCGTGGTCACAGCGGCGCTCCCCGGCAGGGCTGTGGTGAGGAGGCCTAAGAATGGATAAGACACTGGTGGTTAGTGGCCCGGCGGCAGGAGTCAGAAATCCCCTGCTCCACATGTGGCTGTGTGGTCAGCCACACTCGCGTCTGTTCCCTAGGCGCACGGCACCCTGCCCCTGAGCTCGGGTCTGGGCCAGAGGCCTGAGAGATGGGATCTGATACTGAAAAAGAGGTGAGCCAGGTGTGTTTCATCCTCATCCAAGAAACAGAAACCCAGAAAACCTCTCTTCAGGTACCACCGAGTACCACTGCTCAGACACCTCTGATCCTGCCCAGACGTGATACTCAGTCCTGGGAGATGTTAAGCAGGCGTTGGACAGTGAGGGTTAGCAGAACAGATGGCGTGAGTGCAAGCTGTCAGTCACAGGCTGGGTACCACCCATCGATTTCTGTGTGCTGGGCAGGCACTGATAGCAACACGCGCCCCTGGAGCCAAGGTCTGGGCCAGAGGCCTGAGAGATGGGATCTGATACTGGAAAAGAGGCTAACCAGGTGTGTTTCATCCTCATCCAAGAAACAGAAACCCAGAAAACCTCTCTTCACGTACCACCAGTTACCACTGCTCAGACCACCACCGAGCTGTCCCCAAATGTGACACTTGGCTCTGGAGGTCCTGTTGAACAGGGAACAGCACCGCCGGGCCTTAGCCAGTTTGCAGGAGGAAGCCATTAGTGGGATGCATGCTGTCAGTCAACCATCCACGCAGTGCCCTGTTGGAGCAGACCCCCGGGGCACATTCTTGGAGCTGGCATCGCGGCCAGTGGGTGGTCACGGGAGCTGGTGTGCCGTGACTGAGGCCAGGGCGAGCTCCTGCTGCCAGAGAACCTCAGATGGCCTGCACTGAGGCCGACTCTACCAAGCAACGCCCACGGGTGACCTGGGCCATCAGCACAGTGCACACAGTCAGTCGCTCGAGTACGTGGGGGCGGTGTAGACAGCTCACCCCTCCTCCAGACTTTGGGTGGCCCTGTGTCTAGGATGCTCTCCCAAGATCCTGCACAGAAAACAAGTCCAGCTCGGCCATATCTGGCATGTAGATAGCAGACTGCTCACAGGAGCGCTCTTTTCTGGGTTTGGCAGAGTGCAGCCAGCCCCGCTTTACTGTCTTTCCCCCAGAAGTCGACACCTCTTCCAGGAAGTCCTCCAAGGGTGTGTGTTGTGGGGGGCGGGAGGGAGGATTAGATACTGAGGGTTAGTGGACCAGGTCACAAACGGCACAAATAAAGCGTGTGCTCTCTGGTCAACCATCTCAGGTATCCAGGCACATGCTGATGCCACTCTCCTCGTCCTCACATTATCCCAGCCCTCGAAGCTGTCAAGCCAGAGCGGTCTGCTGAGACAAGCACATCACCAAGCCCACTGGGTGCGCCGGGCACAGGCCTGGGAGCCCTCCCCCGCCCCCCCATGTTGATGTTAGCTCCGGGAAAGCTTGCAAGGCGGGATTAGATACTGCAAAGAGGTCGACCGTGTAATGTGCGCCATAAATAAAGCGAACGCGCCACGGACCACCTCTCTCCAAGTACCAAGCAGCAGCAGTGTTAGCACCAGGACTGTGGCTCTCCCTCAAAGCGGACACCACCTCCCGACGTCTTCCAAGGCGAGATGTGATATTGAGAAGAAGTAGACCATGTGTCCTACGTCACAGATAAAGCGTACACACCATGGTCAACCGCATCTTCAGATACCAGGGCGCAACACTGACCTGCGCTTGCCGTCCTGTTCCAGGAAGTTCTCTCAACGTGCGTCACAGACCAATGCTGATGACCACAAACCCACGGTGCCCACCGCTTCCAGGATGCCCCACACGGCTGGACAGGGCACTCAGTGTGGATCGGCGGACCAAAGGGCCAACAGAGTGCATGGTCTGCAGCTGGCCACGTGGCAACCTGCACCTGACAGTGCCCACCCCACGGGCCCCGCTCTCCACCTGGCATGGCTGCCAGGGGGCCCTGAGGCTGAGACTCGGTGGACCATGTTGTGGACATCCTAACCACGCGCACGCTGTATCGTCTGCCACTTCTCCCAGTATGGTCAATGGGGCTGAAACCAGCCAGTGTGTCTCCTGCACAGCTGGCCCTGCCTCTGGCAAGACCTCTGAGACCAACTCTGATACTGAGAAGACATGGACCGTATTACATATGACCCAGCACAAGTTCTGTGGTCAACCATCTTTTCAGGTACCGTGGAGAGGACTATGGTCAGAATCCATGTCTCTCTGCTTTTACCAGCACTGCCTCCAGGAAACCCTCCGAGGCCAATGGGGCACTGAGCAGAGGCCACCTTGCAATGTCTGCTGTGGGCGCATCACAGAGGGACCCCAGGGGCACGACACTAGAACTGGGGCCAGGCCGCACACCTGGCACTACCTGTGGGAAGCCCCGAGTGGCAGTCGCCCTCACGGAGAGCCAGAATGAGGAACATGCATTGTGAGTAAAACACA